TTCACACCTTGGCTCAGGCAATTAGAGGATCATCAGGGGGTCCTTTTGTCTCTCTGTGGGGGGTCACTCCCACTAGGTTTATATCTGGGACTCTCCACCATTTGACCTTAGAACTGAAGAAGCTTCTCGGATGAGAGGTGAAACGTCTTCAAGCAACTTAAAGAAGTCCAGACGCTTTTCTTTGCAAGCTCCTTTGACTGGAACTTTTGGATCACTTCTCTTACTGAGACAAGTTTAAAATCAATGTGAGTACATTAAGTTTAAATCTAGGTTATTTCATATTACACTATGCTGATTGTTTACGTGTCAGCGGCTGAGAAAAATAGTTATAAATACTACATATAACAAAGTATTTTCACACTGTGATGCTTTGTGGAAGTTAAACACACCTGGCAAAGGGCCATTTTGGCTTTAGGGCTCTTCAGCACACAGCCTCTCTGTGCTGGTGTCATTAGTTTCGTTTCCTCTAAGGCTGGAACCAAATGGAAACTAAAAACTTAATTCAGCTTAATGAAATGAAAACAAGATGCATGATGAAAGGTGTGATACAGAGAGGATCCGACCTGACACCACACACATCAGGAAGGATGAAGTCTGCAAATGAAACATGGTTTTTATTTACCTACACATTAGTAACTGCAACCAACTGCTGGCTGTGCCTGGCTTTAACAATCAGTCTCTCTCACGGCAGCAACTCTGGTATCCTGATATATCCTTTCACATCTTGTTAATGTATTTTTTTCCTTTTAAATGTATTTAAAACATTGTGTTCTACTGACTAAATTGAATTAAATTGTCATGATATATGTAGATTTGGTTGAACCAAAATAAACGTATTACGTGGAAAACCTGCCATCAATCAAATTGAGTTCATCCAATGACTAATTTTTATGAGTGTAGGAGGCAAAAAGCTGACAGCATGGCTCATACGGGTGAGTGAGGGTTCCTGCAACATGATTTGGTATGATTTGCATGTCACTGAGTGAATGAAGCACAGCAGTAGGATTGTGACACACGACCCACAGATGGACACTTCTGCGTGTGTCAGTTCAGCAGTGTTTTATTTACAATCAGGACTGTCCCTGCAGTTTCTGGCTCCTGCCCCTCCGTCACTCCTGTTGTCACTCTGCTGCTTCTTCTCACTGCAAGACATAAGAAAAGTCTCTCCTCATCAAGTCATTTCCGCACACCTGTTCCTTCCCACCTCTGCGCCGCCCTGTGAGCTCACTGCATCACCCCTCCTCTGCAGCAGGCCAAAGACCAAGCCCTCGCCACAGCAATGTTTCATATATTTGGTCACCAGGTTTCACACATCTCAGGAAGGATTTAGTCCCACTCCTTTTTACAGAAACTCTCTAAATCCTTCAGGTTTCTTCCCTGCTGACTGGCATCTTGAAGCTTCAGCTCTTCACAGATTTTCTATTCTGAGGTCCTGGACCTTAATTTACTTCTTCTTTAGCCACATCTGTGTTTCTTTGGGGTTATCCCCTGGGTCATTGTCATGTTGGAAGGCTTTATGGTACACGGTCTTAATTGGCTCCTTGGTGCAAGGAAGTTGTCCTGTGCTCTAGAAAGAAAAAGACTCAAAAATAAGACTGTGCTTGCAATAAATTTAATAATACAATTGAAGATGTGACAGAAGAGTGCTAAGGTCTGCAGATCTACAAACATGCTGTGCTACAACATGTTTGAAGGCAACTGGGACAGAGCCAGACATCAGAAAGGCATTAATTAGCCCAGTGATACATGGCTCAAGAGTAGGCCTATTAAAAACATCCTTGAGGAGACAGGGTAGGAAGCTGTCACCTTAACAGATCAGCACACATGCTGAACTATTTCAATTAAAAAGGAGAGAGACACCTGCTCAAAGTTCACAAAGAAAACTGGGCAAACAGGATGAACAACGTGATCTAAGACAGGATCTGAGGGGAAAGACCTGATAGGACAATTCGTTTTTTTGATTTTTTTTAAATGTGGAAAACTTTTTCATATGCTTGCTGGGTTTTTCTCTGTATGTATTATTGTAGGGTCTACCTTACAATATAAAGAACCTTGAGGCATCTGTTGTTGGGATTTGTGTGATATAAATAAAACTGAATGAATAAGAATACAGTGCGATAGAAGTAGAATCCCAAAGCAGCTTAAATAGCTCTACAATCTGAAAATCTCCTGTGGTGTTCTGTTCTAGAGCAAAGCTGTAGCAGACCGTAGAGGAGTGTGCTGATGGATTCGCCAAACCAAGCAGCTTGCTCAGCAGGTAGGAGCCAGTAGGCTATTTGACAAGATGTAAGTAAGACAAATAAACATGAAACAAAAAAGTCTTCTTAGAATAATAGAGCACTCTGTACTTCGTGTACAGACATTGTTTATGGTTTATTCACCAAAATACATAAACATACATACATGAGAGTTAAAGTTGGCACAGTTAAATAAGGCAACTTTTTAAAAAATAACTACATATTAGTTGAAGCAGCCATAGGGCACCGAGAAGCACTGTGTAGGGACCGTACCTTGCTCAGGGGTACCTAGGGTACTTATTGAGTGGATTCAAACCCCCAACCTTCCGATCATGGGGCCGCCACTCTACCTACTGAGCTATCCCTGCCCGTGTTTGTTAGCAGTTAAATTCTTTTTCTATAAAACGAGTAACTGTGTATTAAATTTCAGTGAAATCAAATTTATGTTTATTTACCTTTTATTTAATAGGGACAGTTCACTTTAACATAAGTACTTAGGTGCATCATGAATAAATACCCCGTTTTCTGCTGTGCAGGCTGATTTTTTTTATCTGCAGTTACTGGCAAGTTGACTGGAATTTATTGACAGTAATAATTCATAGATAAGAGCCAGAAGTACATGAACAGCAAAAGAAAGACCTACCTGTGTAACACATTAAATATTACATTAAATATATTTTAAATGTAAAATAATGTGAAGTTTTTGGGTCTCATCCATATGAAAATTAAATGCAAGGACTCCAGCACAAATCATTATGTGCGTGTGGTGTCATATCATTATTTTCATGCCTTTTTCTAAAGTTACTTGTTAATTTTCTGCTTTCTATAGTTGTGTAAAGCACTTTGAGTGCTTGGGTAAAGTAGAAAAACACTGTATAAGAAGTGTCTATTTACCATTTGCCAAAAAGAAGTGGGATACACTTATAATATAAATCCTTTATTTAGCTATGGACTGTGTGACAAAGTGGGTGAGAAGACCATTTGTCTATATTCTTAGTTAACATTCTTGTTTTGATTTAACCATATTTCACATGTAATCTGCAATAGGCAAACATCTACTATCCCGAGTTTGTTTATGTTTTGCACTTTTACAGATTATATAATATAACATCTTGATTTAAATCAATTCCTACAAGTTTGTTAAGTTAACATGTTATTTATTTCAACTGTTAATTTGTATTGTTTCGAACTTACCTTACCTACCTGTCTTGCAGAAGCAAAAGGAGGAAATGTAGTTTTACTTCCTGCTTTATACCTTCTGGGTTCATCTGAGGTCACAGGAAGAGACAAAGTGCAGAAGGGGAAGAATTCTTATAATTTAATAAAGTTGATTTTAGAGGTTTTATAAAGAAATAGATTTATTGTTGTGATATGTATTGATTACACCACAGAGTTTGTTGCCAGTAAAGAGGAGTAGTAGAGGTTTGACTATAATCATGTTCATCTTACCTACCTACTGAATGGAATAGTCCAGAGGAGAAATTGTTTGGTTAAGTGGACTATTTAAGCAGAAGAACTCAGGTGTTTCGGGGGAAAAAAGGTTCAGGTCAGTGTAGCTGTGTGCAGTTTGACCTTAATTTCTGTTGATTTAAGTTCAGTTATGTTTATTTGAACTGAGTTAATTATAGAGTTGAGTTTCTTATTTGTTTCTTTGTAAATATTGTTGGGCCACAAAATGGTGAATAAATCACTTGCTACACTGGACAGCATCAGTCTCCTGCAATTCTTTGACCGCTTAAGTCGAGTCCTACCACAGACTGACTATATTACTTAAAAACTGGTACTATCAAGGTTAGACTGGCCTGCTGCAAGGTTCACTTTGATAAACTCCTGTAACACTGAACAAGTTTATCTGTTAAAATAATGATACATATAAGCAGACTTCACTACACTGGAGGTTTGCAGAGGCTACTCATAGAGAGTTATGCTGGGCTTACACTGTGCGATTTTTGGCCCATTTTGAGCCGATTTTTGAGTCGTGCGACCGTTTTGGCGATCGGCCGGATTTTGGCCTGCGTCGTGCATCGTGTAGTATACGTGGGGTAACGAGAAGCGATTAACACCTCACGACCAGCTCCCGATCATCAATCGCTTGGTCGTGAGGTCACCGCAGTTTCTCACACTGCGCACGCGCAAACACAAATGTCAGCGAAAAAGACGGAGCAGCACGGCAGTGCAGCGTGTGATCTGGACACAAGCGATGGAGGCACAACTTGTAGAACTATGGCAACCTCATCCGAGCCTTTTAGATGTGGCCTCACAAAATTATCACAACCACAACAACCGTGAAAATAGGTGGATTTACATTGCTGCTCAATCACAGCTGCCTGATCAATGTTTTTCATTAGCAATTTAGCAAAGTTGATGGTGGTGGTGTGCGTGTCTATGTGAGTGAAAGACAGAGAGGGAGAGCGAGCGACAGAATTTCTGTTATAACCTTAATTTTATGGACGCACAGTGTGAGCACTCAGGTCGCATCAGAGCATCGGGTTGTATAGTGTGAGACCTGCATCGTGACCTATGAACTTCTAACCCCTGCGAGTCAACCGTGCAGTTTGAGCAGGAGCTGAATCGCGCGACTGAAAAAATCGCACAGTGTCTGCCCAGCATTAACTGTTAAATCTATGTTGGCTGAGCTGACTGACTGAGTTACTAAACTTGTTATTTCAAAAACAAATCAACTATTTAAACAAACAAAACAAAAACAAATTCTTCATTTCAGTTTATTATATTTCTTTCCACAGAGAAGGAGCTTGCCAGAATGCGAACACAGTTTGTGGAGAGGGTGACAGCAGAAAATCTCACACAGCTACTTGAAGCCCTTGTAATAGACAATGTCTTGAATGAGTTGGAGAAAGAAAGGATACAGGAAATAAACCAAAGTAGAGCAGACAAGGCACGCGACTTCATTGACATCGTGAAGAAAAAGGGAGAAAAAGCCTGCAGGATAATGATCAGTCACCTTCGAACCATTGATCCTACAGTTTCCCGACAGCTAGGTTTGTCCTCTGGGCCATCTGCTCATTTAGGTGAGATCAAATATTTTGTTATTAATATATTATTGCGTTATTTGTTAGAGCACTAACCTTTGTCTGTTGTGTGTGTGTGTGTGTGTCCATCCATTTATGTTTAACCATTTCCAGTTTAGAAATTTCCCCTGGAGAAGTGATCTGACTCTAATCCATTCTTGAGTTGCCCTCTTTGGCTTTTAGGTCCCGGTTCACTGATAATTTCCCGATGAATGAAAATGATGTTTCCTTATGAGGGATTGTCCTGAAATGCCTTTTATGGTGCTAAAACCTACTCCAGCTGGGGACTTCATTGTAATTCCCTTGGATTTTACTGTTCATATACTATTTTTATATTTCACTGGGAGGAATGGCCTGTCCAATCTGAACTTGAATTGTGTTCTCTTATTGGACTGTTGTGGTTATCAGACTTTATCTATGAGGAACAGAACAGTGTTCACCATCTGGAAGACACCCAGGTCCAGGACAGTTGTAGGCAAGCCCAGAGGCTAAAAGAATAAAACTGTGGATACAAGTAATGGAAACTGGCATCCTCCCTCATGGGCTTTGCTTTAAAAAAAGCCTTTTTTGCTTTTAAATAGCATAGCATAGCATAGCATCTTTATTTATAACGCACTTTACATCCAACTATGTTGACCAAAGTGCTACAAATATAAAACAGAGAGGAAACAGTTTAAATTACATATAAAATATCTTAAAATTAAAAATAATATAATTAATAAGAAACGTATTAAGAGACATCAACAAGTCCTGCTGTGCTAAAAGCCAAGGTAAATAAATATGTTTTAAGACGTGATTTAAAAACAGATAAGGAAGGTGCCTGTCTAACATGTAAAGGCAACTCATTCCACAATTTTGGTGCTGCCACAGCAAACGCCCGATCCCCTCTGAGCTTACGATTAGTCCTGGGCACGCTCAGGAGGAGCTGGTCTGCCGACCTGAGGGACCGGGAAGGTATGTATGGATGAAGAAGCTCAGAGAGGTACACAGGGGCAGCATTGGACAAACATTTAAAAACAAATAAAAGCAGCTTAAAATGGATCCTAAAATGCACGGGCAGCCAATGAAGTGAATGTGCTATAGAATTAAAATTTATATTGACATTAAGTGGAAATCATGTCTCTATCTTAAATTTATGTTGTAGGTACATTACAACTGCAAACCTTTCCGAAACCCCACACTATAACTTAAGCCATAACTTCATATGCATCTCCCTAAAAATGTACCTACAACTTGTGCTGATGCAGCCTGCAACTACTGTGATTGGTCCATTTATTACTGTTGTTAACCTCTATGTATTTTTGGAGAAGTGGAAACTTTTGCATTTGCACAGTCTATATACACGCTGGAAATAGTACTGGCCACTTGCAAAGTTTACATTGTAGAATCTACAGACGTGTAGATCATGTATATGCATGCACCATCATCAGGGTTCGGCTGGGAAAGCCTTGATGTCTCCACAAAAGAGCTTAAGGTGATGGTGGGATGAGCATTTCCACTTAGACTGCCCCCATGGTTTGGACCTAGATAGGTGGCACAAAATAGATGGATGGACAACAAAAAAAGCTCATCCGAAATTGAATAAAACAACCACAACAGTCCAAAAATCATTCATATTTGTGTGTTTCTATTAGCAGCACTTGACAAGTGTCATCTTAAATTTAAATCTACTCTGAAGAACAAGTTCCAGCGTGTGTTTGAATACACAAAATGTTGTTTCTCTATTCTTTTAGGATTCTCCAGCATGTGTCAGAATAAAATTAAATCTAACCTGAAGAAGAAGTTCCAGTGTGTGTTTGAGGGAATTGCTAAAACCGGAAATCCAACCCTTCTGAATCAGATCTACACAGAGCTCTTCATCACAAAAGGAGGGACTGCAGAGGTCAATCAAGAACATGAGGTCAGACAAATTGAAACAGCATCAAGAAAACCATACAGACCAGAAACAACAATAAGATTAGAAGACATCTTTAAAGTCCCACCTGGAAAAGAACAACCAGTCAGAAAAGTACTAACTATGGGAGGGGCTGGCTTTGGGAAAACTTTGTTGACACAGAAGTTCACTCTGGATTGGGCTGAAGACAAAACCAACCAGGACATCCAGTTCATATTTCCATTCCCTTTCAGAGAGCTGAATGTGCTGAAGGAGAAAAAGTTCAGCTTGGTGGAACTTATTCATCGCTTCTTTATTGAAACCAAAGAAGCAGGATTCTGCAGGTTCGAAGACTTCCAGGTTGTGTTCATCTTTGATGGTCTGGATGAGTGTCGACTTCCTCTAGACTTCCACAATACAGAAATCCTCACTGACCCCAGGGAGTCCACTTCTGTGGTTCTGCTACTAACAAACCTCATCAAGGGCAACCTGCTTCCCTCTGCTCACCTCTGGATAACCACACGACCTGCAGCAGCCAATCAGATCCCTTCGGACCGTGTTGACATGGTGACCGAAATCAGAGGGTTCACTGACCCACAGAAGGAGGAATACTTCAAGAAGAGATTCGCTAATGAGAAGCGGTCCAGGAGCATCATCTCTCACATCAAGACATCACAAAGCCTCCACATTATGTGCCACATCCCAGTCTTCTGCTGGATCACTGCTACAGTTCTGGAGCACATGTTGAGAACCACAGAGGTGAGAAAGCTACCCAAGACCCTGACTGAGATGTACATCCACTTCTTGGTGGTTCAGGTCAAAGTGAAAAAGGTCAAGTATGATGGAGGAGCTGAGACAGATCCACACTGGAGTCCAGAGAGCAGGGAGATGATTGAGTCTCTGGGAAAACTGGCTTTTGACCAGCTGCAGAAAGGAAACCTGATCTTCTATGAATCAGACCTGACAGAGTGTGGCATCGATATCAGAGCAGCCTCAGTGTACTCAGGAGTGTTCACACAGATCTTTAGAGAGGAGAGAGGACTGTACCAGGACAAGGTGTTCTGCTTTGTCCATCTAAGTGTTCAGGAGTTTTTGGCTGCTCTTCATGTCCATCTGACCTTTATCCACTCTGGAGTCAATCTGCTGGAAGAACAACAACCTGGGGCAGACTTCTACAATACTGCTGTGAACAAGGCCTTACAGAGTCCAAATGGACACCTGGACTTGTTTCTTCGCTTCCTCCTGGGTCTATCACTGCAGACCAATCAGAGTCGCCTGAAAGGCCTGCTGACACAGACAAGAAGTCCACAGACCAATGAGGAAAGAGTTCAGTACATCAAGAAGAAGCTCAATGAGAATCTGTCTGTAGAGAAAAGCATAAACCTGTTCCACTGTCTGAATGAACTGAATGATCGTTCTCTAGTGAAGGAGATCCAACAGGCCCTGAGTCCAGGAAGTCTCTCTACAGATAAACTGTCTCCTGCTCACTGGTCAGCTCTGGTCTTCATCTTACTTTCATCAGAAGAAGATCTGGATGCGTTTGACCTGAAGAAATACGCTGCTTCAGAGGAGGCTCTTCTGAGACTGATGCCAGTGGTCAAAGCTTCCAATAAAGCTCTGTAA